AAAGCTCAGCACTAGTCACCTTCAGAGAAGTCTTCTTTCCTTAAACCAAAGAACTGGGTTCCAAACAGCTCCCCGCAAAACTGTCTTATTAATCCTGTTGCAGAACATTAAGGATAGAATTAAAAATTGTATAATTCTTCCAGTTCATTTGTGCTTTCAGTTTTCAAACCATTCTGTCAAATATAAAAATAATTTTGTTTTTCATTCAAACTTTAGCACACATTTTCAGCATTATTCCTTTGGACCCAGGGTAGAATGAACTGAAAGGATAATTCTTGGACTCTTACACACTGTTATTATTGATCCATAATTTCGTTAGTTCTTACAGCATAATAAACACTGTGGACACCTAACACAATAGCAAGGATCTTGACATTAAACCACATCTAACCATGCGATTTCAGAGCCTTTGCTATCTTAAATGTAGTTTTACATGTATTATTGTTAGCATTTTTTTTAAGGACCGCTTGCTTGATTTTTTAATAAAAATATAGGTAGTCCCAATTCCTTATGATGGAACATGCTCCCAAAACACTCTATGTAAGTAAATTGTGGGTAAATTGAACATGTCCAATTACAGTAGATGTACTTTAAGAGTCAGATATTCAAACGTATTAGCTATATGGCCTCAGACTAATTAATTGCTATTAAATGCCACTTAACAGACGGGGATATGTTCTGAGAAATGTGTTAGGCAATTTTGTTGTGTGAACATCATAGAGTGCACTTACACAAACCTAGATGGCATAGCCTACTACGCACCTGGGCTGTACAGTACAGCCTACTGCTCCTATATTACAAGCCTGTCCAGCCCATTGCTGTACAAAACAACATGAGATTAAATCAAGCACAAGAGAAAGTGATGCAGGCAAGAGGCCGTAAACACAAGATGTCTATGAGGCTGCAGCTGGCGTAACAGAATACTATTTTATAGCAAACTTTTTTTGTAAGTAGAAAGTATAGGAAATACATAAACCAGTAACAGTTTTTTATTATCATTATTCAGCATTATGTACTGTACATTACTGTGTATGCTATACTTTTATGTCACTGGCAGTGCAGTAGGATTGTTTGCACCAGCATCACCACAAACAGGGGAGTAATGCGTTCCATAAGACGTTAGGACAGCTAACGTTCCATAAGACGTTAGGAATTTTTCAGCTCCGTTATAATCTTACGGGATTATATGTGATCCCACTGTTGTATATGTGATCTGTTGTTTACAAACGTCGTTATGCAGCGCATGACTGTAATTACTCTGCTTAGTATGTTTTACTATTTTAATGCCTCGGTCAGAACATTTTCAACATGTATGTGCGGATGCTCGGCTTCCCCACTAGATGGCACTAGTTAGTTGGTAAAAGTAATGCTGACTGGTGCTACACCACCCCAGTCTTGCCATTAGAGGAAAAATATTTGAAAAAACTGGTAAAGACTATGAAAAGTGTTATAAAATTGACTTTAGGTAAAGTGAGAAAGGATTGCTTATACTGTGAAAAGATCACAATCAGTATACAACATAAAAACAAAATTAAAATTAAATATTAAATAATTAAACATGAGGAGCTCCTTGATGGTCAGATTCATAGAGCTCTTTAAACTATATTAGGAGTTGGCATTTTGTTTCAAATGCAGTGGAAAGCCATTGATAAATTGTAAGCATAGAAGTGTTAAGATGTTATTTATGTTTTTAAAAGATCATTCTGATAGTTCTGTTTTTCGAAGATACTGTTGAAGTGATTGAAAAGAGAAACCATAAAATTGAAAATAATATTTATAACACATAAGCAAGTGACTCATGTAGAATGTATAAAAATTTTATAATCGATAAGAAAAAGACAATACAATAGCAAAATTGATAAAACACTTGAACACTCGCTTCACAAAAGGAATTCCACATAGCCAACAAACACGGAAAGATCAGTAGTGAGGGAAAAGCAAATTAAAATCACAGTAAGAAACCATTACATACCCACATGATTGGTAAAAAATGTAGAATAATGCCAAGAGTTGACAAGGGTGTTGACAGCAACAAGAGCTCTAATGCGCTGCTACAGGAGAATAAAGTTATACAGCCACTTAGGAAATACGCAGTGAAGTGGAGGTAATACACGCTGGGACCTCAGATTTCCATTCCTAAGCCAATATCCTGGAGAAACCTTGTGCACCAGTGTAACACTATCTTGTCTACAAGAGCATGCTTAGTAACATTGTTTATAACTGCTGGAAACTGGAAACCACACAAGTGTTCTCAGCTGAAGAATGGATGGCCAAATGAAGGTGTTTTCCCATAGTGGAATGCTATAAAACAACAAAAATGATAGCACTACAGCCACATGTGCAAAAAAGGGTATGTCTTAAATGTTGAGCATAAAAAAGCAAGACACAAAAGAATGCATATGAGTACAATTCCATTTAGGTAAAGTTCAAAAACAGGCAAAACTATATTGTTTAGGACTGGATACTTGGTGATGAACTATGAAGGCAACTAAGAAATTAAGTTAGAAGAGTAGTGACTTCTACTGTCATTTATATCTCAGTTAAAAAAAAAAGAAAAAGAATGGTAGTGACCTTTGGTGGGAGAGACAGAGCTCCTGGGGTAAGAGGATTATGCATGGGCCAGAGTGGAAGCAGGGAAACCACACTTACTGTAGGTGAAAGGTAATGGAACAGAGGCTGGGACCAGGCCGGGGTGGGGGTGGGGGTGGAGAGAAGTCACTCCAGGAGGCCAGATGAACAGGACCTGCTAACGGATTGTTTTCTCCTGTTCTTTGTGATAGTTCACAAGCCAGAAAAAGTTACGTGGACAGAAGCTGCTGGAACCATTCGGGATGGAGTACGAGCCTACACAGCTCTGCATTATCTTTCTCATCTCTCTCCAGGAAAATCAGTGTTGATAATGGATGGAGCAAGTGTAGGTGCTAATAGTTTTGTTCAGAAATAGACCCAAACACAGTACACTTAGGAAACAGGCCATCCATTTGCCAGTGTAATTATCTGCCAATAGTTCATTCACTGATTTGTTTACCAAAGTCCCATTTTGTTAAAATAAGCAATAGGAGATAAAAGTTAGTGTGTTTATTCTTACTTTGAATCTGCTAGTACCTTAAAAAAACAAACAAGTAATGTTTTTCATGGCTGTTACACAAAGTCTGAAATAGCTTATGACGTCTGAAGCCATACCCCAGAACTCCCTACCAATTTTTTATCATGTCCTACACACTTGCACTTAACGTTAATAAGGTGTCGCATGTATAGGTGGATCATACAAGATCAAAAATGTCTTAATTTCAACATCTTAGGTGTATCGTCAAAAAAATAGTTTGACACTAAAAGCAAACACATAAAAACATTTTCTAAAGGTGTTACAAACTTAGGGTGAATTGCTAGTTTTATTTTCTTTCTGGCTGTTAATGAATTGATTTTCTTTGGAAAAAAGGCAGAATTGTCTTTAGCGGTGGCTTCGCCTGATGTCTAACATCAGGGCAGTGGTGGTTTTCTGAACGTACCCACAGGTCAGCAAAAGAAAGGATGGAGCTTTTGAAGTGCTGTGATCTCCCAACAGAGGTTGCTGGACCCACATATGTATAATAGTATAATTAGCTTAGTTCATGATGCTGACAAGGCCCAGAAGGCCCATTTTTCTTTTTCCAAGACCATATTTTTTAATGCAGCGCTCTATCCTCGAAATTATGTGCTCTGGTCAGATTGGGTGACAGCATGTGGCACAGCAGCATTCCCACCACCCCTTCTGAGGAAGAAAGTCAATCAAATGTTCCATTCTACGAAATTTGTCCATATTTTCTTTTTCTATCAGATAACATTTGAAAATCTATTAAAGTAGCACTAAAGCGTTACACTTTATTTAACAACCTATCAAGTAAATTAGACATGGCTTCCGCCCTGTATCTATAAACCTATTGTGTCTTTTTTCCACACAGGCACTTGGTGCGATTGCTATTCAGTTAGCGCACCATAGAGGAGCCAAAGTCATTGCAACAGCATGCAGCCTTGAAGACAAGCAGTACCTGGAAAGACTTAGGCCTACTATATGTGAGTAGTATTACTCAGCACAGACTTTAAAACATCAAATTTTGAAGGGACATCGCCTTAAAAATTATGCTTATAAAACAAAGTGCAAAATCCCAAGTGATAGTCACTTTTAAAATGCACTTAGTATCTGTGCTAAGTCCAAGTTTACTTAAGTGATAGTTTGTTTTTGTTTGTTTTGTTTTTTTATTTTATTGGGGAACAGCCATGGTCATTGGTTACACATTGCTTTCATGCTACAGTGGCATTGTTGACTCTTTTAGGCAGGGTGCAGCTCACAGTGGCCCATGCGGGGATCAAACTGGCAACCTTGGTGTTTTCAACACCACGCTCTAACCAACTAAGCTAACGAGTTACCCCCTACTTAAGTGATAGTTTTAGTTATTTGTTTTTTATTTAAATTTTTTGATACAGTTGTAAATGGAATTGTTTTTTAATTTCTCTTAGTGGTAGCTCATTATTGGTGTATAAAGAAAGCAACCCATTTCTCAGTATTCGTTTTATATCCTGCTACTTTACTGAGTTCATTTATCAGTTCTAATAATTTGGGGGGGACTCCTTAGGGTTCTCTATATATAGTATCATGTCATCTGCTAATTCTTTGTTTTTTAAACCTTCATTTTTCAATGTTTTTTCTTCTTTGCCCCATTGTTATCAACTTAGCCAAGTTTGAATTACGTGAACTTTGAAACAATTTAGATATACCTGATGCCTCTTTGGTTTTGGTCAATAAATCAATATGTTTCTGCATCACTTTGTATGTTTCTCATCCTGTCTTACCCAGTGATATACCTCTAAAGTTGTCTATTTTCTTTGATGTACTAGGAAGGGAAATGAGCTACGTACTTACACAGAAACACAGGTCAGATACAGTTTATGGTGAATAGACACGGTGAAGACTGGGGAGCCCTTGAAAAGATGGAACGTATCTGAACAGCAACAAAAAGAAAATAGAGATTGAAAAAATGAAATAGGAGAGGAGAAAGATAGAAACGGAATTTAATAGATGGGAGTTACAGAATTAACGTTGGCATTTAACAGATGAAGAGAAAAGAGTATGAGCAGAGTGTAACTGAAAGGAGGTAGGAAGGAAAGTAATGTTTATTGAGTGTTGATATGGGTGTAATCTCTAAGTCCTCAACAGCCCTGGGTTGGCTAACCGAGAAACAGCATCTCAGAGAATCTAACTAGCTTGTCCAAGGATACGCAACTAGAAGAGGGGCTGGAATGGCATTTGAACCTGTCTAGCATTAAAGTCCATGTTATTTCCATTGTTAAATTATGCTTCTGACAGAGATAACCAAGGCATGGAAGGATGGTTAAGGCAGGGGCTGGAGAAGGAGGAATAAAGGCAAAAAGGAAAAAGAAGAAATTGAAAATAGTTAAAAAAAAAATGTATGAACAGTATTGTTGAAGGGAAAGGTTTCTTATTACTAAATCTTGCCCTTCGCACGTGCTTCATTCAGTCCCCCTTCCCTCGTGTCATCCCCACCCCTCATCTCTGTCCCCCCGAATCTTAGATCACTATTGGACTACACCATAAACCTCACCAGTTCTCAGAGGGATTCTCTTTAAGGAGGTATTAAAAGATACAGAAATGAAATATAAACATGTGTCTTCATTTGCCAGTTCTGAGATTTCTATTTTAATTCTCTCATTGGCTTGTTTTGTTAATATAATACTTGAAAGCAACCAGTTAAAATTAGTTTAATTTTCACTAACTGTGCTAAAAATAGTCGTTTTTTTCCTTCAAGATTTTTCTTTGTTTTGGGGCACAAGTGCAGGGGATTTCTATGATTGAGGAAGGATTAAAACAGCCTCTAATAGAGAAGTATATCGCACAAAAATATTTTTGTTCTTTCTAACTCTAAATTCGATTAAATCTGAAAATACTTAAGAAATTATTTAATCTTTCAACCGGTATGTGTACCTCTGGGGTTTAGAGATTCCCAGTTCTGGCAATATATTCTATAGCTATAGAGAACAGTCCTCTGTTGTCAGCAGACCAGCCTTGGAACATGTTATCCACAAATGCATATATTTTATTTTATTGAATATACCCGTCCCGTCCTGTGAACTGATCTTTACCAATATTGGGTTAGATGAGAAAAAGGATCATTTGGATTCACTTAAGTGTTTGAACCACTTCATTCATTTCAGAGAACAGATATTTATTTGCTTTTCTTTTTTTCTTTTCCTCTGATTTGTTTGTGTTGATCACATAGAGAACAGTACAATTGCCTGACTTCCTGTTCTTTGCAGCCCGAGTGATTGATGTATCTAATGGGAAAGCCCACATTGCTGAAAGCTGTTTAGAAGAAACAGGTGGCCTGGGAGTAGATATTGTCCTAGATGCTGGAGGTGGGTACTTCACTAAATCAGTAGTCTGTGTAATTTTTTTTAGTGTGATGAATTTTAGGAAAAAGATATATAACCAGGGGATAATTTTTAGCATATTTATTAAATTGATGTTTCGTTTTGGGTTTTGGGGTTTTTTTTCTATTTAAATTGGAGCTTCTTCATTTTATTTCCATTGTAAACAGTCTGGAAGAGAGAACATGCTTGATTTTTAAAGTATAAGCTTTAGAGTTTAAACATCTGTACAGGAATCTACAAACAGTGGTTCCCACATGATACACATTCATTCAAGTCTCAGCCAGATGCTTATTCAATCAATTGTGCTACGTCTGGCCCTCTATTGGATGGTTGACTTCTGCAGTCTCTATTTCGAAAACACACAGAATTTTGTTGAGTTTTTCACCTTCGTGAACTTTTATAGTTTAACAAATATCTATCTAACATCTAATTTGTAAACACTTAGGTCATGCCATATCACCTCAAGGATAGGTTTCACAAGCCTGCAAAAGCATTCTATTTATACTTTGTTCAGATTTATTTTCTATCATGAGAATCATAGGTGAATACAGCTATACATGGCCATCTTATATGGTTTTTTTTAACCAGTATTTTCAAGATTTGAAATTAACTCAGATCTTTCAGTGGAAGCGAATGTATACGAATGTATACTTCATTAACTTTTCAAGTGGACATTTCAATAATTATGTCAAAGTGTGACTGTCTTGAGTCTATGAGTTCCTTAATCAGAAGTCAACTTTTCCCAAAGTATTGGGCTACCGATGTTACAATTAAAACTCTCAGGCTTAGTGTTACATTGTATTACCTTGCCTGGTTTTCAAATGAAAATAGATTTTTTATCTTTAGTTATTACACTTATAATTGAATCTAGAGTAAATTTTATGACCAGTTTTAATGCAAAAAGTATATTTTAGGATGTCTGAATACATTGTGTTGACTTTTTCTGAGAAAAAACTGCTTCCTCATGCCTACATTAAAGAACAAAGAGAACTTATTTGAAGAATAAATTTTTGTCAGATGACTAAAATATATTTCTCCTCCCTCTCCTCCCCTCCCTCTCTCTCTCTCTCAACCTCTCTCAACTATTCCCCCTAAGTGAGATTATATAGTAAAGATGATGAACCAGATTTAAAATTACAACTACTTCCACATAAACATGATATCATCACACTGCTTGGTGTCGGAGGCCACTGGGTAACAACAGAAGAAAACCTGCAGGTATTATCAGAAACAGTAAAGCATTACTATTACACCAAAAGGATATAATTACCAAAGAATAATGCCTAAGTCTTTTGGGGCAAGATATCGCTAAATTAGTGTAAATTGTAAATTATACCCTGTATAATATATAGGTTTTTTTATTTTATTTTTTTTTACTTTAACTATATGTTGGCCAAAATGTTGAAGTGGTGCCTAATAGAGGAGTTCATTTAACTTTTATTTAGTGGTTTGGAAGTAGTGACTTCTGAATTTAATAGTATTTCAAATAGGATTTTTTTCTTAATAACAAACATTACTGACATATATATAGTTGGCAAAATACTGCTATATAAAATTACTACAATTTCCAAATTATTCAGATTGGAATGTATTATATATGTGTACATACACGTTGTTTCCCCACGTTATATTTCTTAAATATTTTTATTATTGTTGATATGCAGACACCATAGTTTTCATATAGCAATCTTCATTCATTTTCCAGCAGCCTCATGAAAATGGTAAGTAGCAGCCAGAAATCTCTCTCTCTCTCTCTCTCTCTCTCTCTCTCTCTCTCTCTCTCTCTCTCACACACACACACACACACACACACACACACGTACACGCATACACTCTACTACTCTATCAGCAAGATTCTAGATTGGCCTTGCACCTGACCTTGCTGTTTCATCATTTTGGACAATGAAATGCAAAAGAAAACATGGTTTACATATCGTTATTAAAGCTTCTGTGCTGACTGTTTGTGATGTGTGTATTATTTAATCTGTGTAGAAGTTTTCCTGGCTTAAGATTCACGCCATCTTTCTGCTGTTAAACTCAGTAACTGATCAGTCTTTGTGCATTCTGTCCAAGTTGGATCCTCCCGATAGCTACTGCCTTTTCCTCAAGGGAGCAACGGTGGCTTTCCTGAATGATGAAGTTTGGAACTTGTCAAATGTACAACAAGGAAAATATCTCTATATCCTTTTTTTCTACTGACTTGAGTTTGAAATTTACCCTGTACTGTCATCATTAAGTTCTTTAATACTGGTAATAACGAACAGCAGCTAACTTTCATTAAGCATGTTAAACAACGTTCCAGGTGCTTTGTAGGTATTAATTTATTTAAACATTAAAACCACCCTATGAGGTATAAGTATTGTTATTATGCCTATTTCACAGGTGAAGGAACTGAAGCAGAGAAAGATTAATAATACATGCCCAAGGATGCAGCTCTCGCAAGTGGCAGGACAGAATCACACCCAGGGAGTCGTGCTCATTTCCGAATGGCAGATAAACCATGAGTTACATGGAAGATTTTGGTTTGTTTTTAACCTGGCATTCTGGAAATGACACGTCACCTTGGGAAGCTGCATTCTTACTCTTACAACGGTGCCCTTGTGCAAAACTTTCTGGAAGACTTTTATTGAAATTAAAGAGTTCGTGGGGCATTTTTAAGAATATCACTGCTAGGAAATCTTCACCAATGAAGATGAGTTTGATTTTTTTTTTTTTTAAATGGAAGTCATTCAGAGGCAAGTCTGGTAAAGGAAGCCATATCATTCCAGTTTGGGTAAAAGTAATAAAAAGTTCTCTTAAGAATATGAAAGCACATCCAAAAGAAAGGTCCAAGCCTTTTAGAACAAGGTCAACTTAAAAATAAAACTTTTATTTCTAAGATGGCTGTTTTGAAAGCAGCTGCAGTTGGTAAAATTTTTAACATATTGGATAAAAAAATAAGTTCTCATTACATAATAGAGTATACTTGTATGTGAAAAAATGGCCTTACACTTGTCTCCACTGAATACCTTATTTTTGTTAAACGTGTGTCGTTAGATACGCGTATGAGTGCTATGTATACAGGCCAGTCTCCAGGAGCAATGACAGACTGAATGCAGAGCCTTCAAATAGCATTTCATTCATATACTGTGTATGTTGAGCTTTCAAGAGTACATTTCAGAAACCAGAAAAATCCCCTTAATGTAGCAAGTGTACGAGATTAAAGTATTTCTGATTAAATACTTTCCTATTAAATTTAGAAAATAAAATTTTTAACTTTCTAGAAGAATTTGTTTTAAATTTCCGTTCAAAGCAACTTAAATGTCCAATTAGCACTGTAATGATCAAGAATACCATGGGACATTAGCAATAGAACACACAATGAAGTAACAGCATGTTTTGAATCTTACATGTGGAGCTAGGCTGGGCTGCTTTGCTTATGTTGCTTAACTTAATTCTCTCAACTGCCCTCCCTTCCCCGCCACAAGATGATTTTAACCTATTTGACAAACCCATGGACCATGTTGAAAGATGACATGTTTATATGAAATGATGTTCAATTTTCAGAAATCTCAAATATACATACACACACTTAAACATACTGTTGGCAATTTCATTAACAAAAGTAGAAAGAATTTACAGTATGAATAAGTGAATCAGTATTCTTTAGGTCCTTTTAAAAAAGATTTAAAATGTCTTATGTTCATATTTTCTAATTTACGTTTTCTACAGTCCTGCATCAGACTTTTGCCCTCACTTGTGCAAACCCTCCTCAGTCAGTTCACACATTGAGCCAATTGCTGCTTGTGACTTAACAGTTCTCCTGCCAGTTGTGAGACTGTACGCCATAAATGGTTCTCCAGCTCTAGCAATTACAAAGACTCTCAATTCTGATTTCAATTAATGACTAGATTTTTTTTCATTTTAGTTTTGATTCTCTTGGTGACACACCACACACAATTTAACTTCCCCGCACTCAAATTTTATGTCTGTAGCCATTAGTAAATAAATGTGCACCTAAAGTAAGAGAGAGACGTGCTAAAATTGTTTTTAACTTATTGAAAATAACGTAGGTAGTGCTAAAGTGAAAAAACCTGACACCAATCCATTATCATCCATTTGGGATAACACTAGTTACTACTTCGGGCAGGCATTAGGCTTCTTTCATCACTTGTTCTCTATTCCACATATCCCCTTTTTAGAGGTAAACTTGACAGCTTACAGAATTTCTGTAACTTAGATTTTGAATTTCTGAGATTGCTAAACATAAAGAAAAAACAAGTAGCCTGTCTAGCATCTTGTACTAACTGAATGGTTTTGTTTAATCGTCTTATCTTTTACATTGCCACCTTAACAATCCTTCCAGCCACGTATCTTGAAAGATGTGATGGAGAAGTTATCAACTGGTGTTTTTAGGTATGCTAAGTAACCAAACGATCGTGTTTATTTTTCTCTTCTCAAGGAGATAAGGCAGGCATTTCTATTTTTGTTTCAGCTTTCACAGAACACCTATTGCCTCTATATTTTATTATTTGGGTTAGATAAATAACCACTCCTTAATATTTCTCAAAGTGTATCTTGTGACAGACCAGTAAGTATTCCCTAAGACAGAAGTGGCTCCTGAGTTTTCCTTACTCCATTCTGTACCGTCTCACCCTTTACTTTTTCTCATCACCCCTCCGAAAACAACTTGAAATAACCCATAGCTTGAGAACAAGAAAAAGTACGTTTTTTAAAAGATGGATCTGCTTATCAAAAAAGAGGGAGTGGAAACATTAGGTATTTTCGCCTTCAAAATTTAACCACTGTGGAAATACTAATAGACAACTTGGTATTTAAAGTAATACAGTTGAACTCTAGCAATTGTCAACTACCATCCTGTGTCTTCTACTCAACTAATAATTTCATTCTTCCTCAGGCCTCAGTTGGATGAACCCATTCCACTATATGAAGCGAAAGTTTCTATGGAAGTTGTTCAGAAAAATCAAGGAAGAAAAAAGCAAGTTGTTCAATTTTAATTTTGTTCTTTCTCAGACCTCAATTGAATGAATCCATTCCAGTATTTGAAGCCAGTTGCCTTGGAAATTGTTCAGAAAAGTCAAGGAAGATAAAAGCAAGTTGTTCCATTTTTAAGCATGATTTCCTGCTATCTGAGACAAGATGTTCAGAGTTATTTCAAGTATTTAAAAAGTATTTGAAAAATTACTGTACAAACGGCCAAGACAGTTCTATAACATCTAAAGGGAATATTCTGAAAACCTTTTGTTATTGTTTTTATGTATTTGCCTCCGTTATAAAATTTTTCCTACGAAGAAAACTGCTTTTAGCAAAAGAAACGCTACTCTTGATAAAGCTGATTCGTTTTTGGTATGTTAAAATAACGTTACTTTTATGTCAACTCCATTCTCAGCACCTTCCTTCCTTAACAAGCCTTTGCTGGCGCAATTGAATCTTTTGAGTATATTTTCAAGTCTAGTCCATAGACACTTAAAATTTTTTTCAAATATTCACTTCAGGGTTTTCTCAGGATCAAACGGGATCGACAGAGTAACTCGCCAGCAGCAGCTGCAGTGTTTGCGTGGAGGGCTGCGGTGGCGATGCTTGGGGAGGGGAACGGGAGGCTGCGCTGTATCCCCATCAGGGTTCTCTATTTGGGGATAGGGAGAAGAGACCCAGGCCCCTCTCGCCATCTCTGGACGTCGCCACTGCCCTCTAAGCCTATCGAAGCAGCAGCTCGAGTGTGACGTTTCCTTTTCATCCAGCCACCATTCCCCGGGCTCATCACACCCCTGCTGCGGATTTAAATAGCTATTTTGGGGCCCAACGGGAGTGCCGACCAGTACCCTGGATCGCGTGCTTCCCAGCCAGTTAGCACCCGGCGACCCGACGATGGCCAAGGTCCCGGCAGGAGCGCCAGCGCAGCGTCTCGGGCACCAACAGAGAGCCGCAGCGGCGGCTTCGCGGAAACGCAGCCGGGGGCGGGGCCTCACGAGAAGCCCACAGCGCACGCGCCGCGCGGCGCCTCGGGGGCGGTGCCGGCGCGCGCGGGAAGCGCCTGCGGGGTGGCTGGCCAGCCTGCCTGTTCGCCTCCGCCGCTCATCATGGCCTTTTCGGTTCCCGGCTACTCGCCCAGTTTCAAAAAGCCGCCTGAGACTTTACGGCTCCGACGGAAGAGGGCCCGGGGCCTTGGGGCCGCCCTCCCGACCCGGGAGCGGCCCGAGCCGGCGCCCCGCCGCGCTGCCCTGGCGGCCGGGCTGTCACTCCGCCCCTTCCCGGCGGCGGCAGGCAGTGGCGGCGGTGGCCCGGCCACAGCCGGGAGGAACCCCTTCGCCTGCCTAGACAACCGGCCGCGGGGGGCCGCGGAGTCCCCCGACGGGCCGCCCCGGGGCCCGCAGGAGGCGCCGAGCCGGGTGAGTGTCTTGGTGCTTGGCGGCCGAGTGGCTGACTTGGCTGTGAATTCGGGATGGCAAGTTCTCGCGTTGGAGGAGGGAAACGGGCGCGAAGCGTGCCGACCGCCCGCGGCCTCGGAGCCCTGGGCACTGGGAGTGGCTGCTGTGACAGGTGGAGTGCGCTCCGCGAGCTGCCGCGGGACGTGCCGGGCGACAGGGTCGGGCCGGCCTGCCCTGAGGACGGCGAAGAGCACTAGGGTGCGCGCCCCCCGCAGTCCAGCCCGGTGCCCGGGTCGGAATTTGGGCAGCAGCCCTCGTGGGGGGTTAGAAATCAGTGGGAAGATAGCTCGGAAAATCCTACAACAGCTCTCACCCTGAAAGGGCGGGGAAATAGCAAGACTGTCTCCCTGAGTGATTCCGAGCCTCCTCCCCTCACGCGCTCAAAATTATCCTGGGGATGGAGAAATGTCGAGGATTCTTGGGCTCAGAATTTACTAGAATTTGTCTTACCTCAAAGCCTTTTGATTTGGGATTCATAAATCAGTATTAGATGTGCAAATCACTGGCTCCCCCCCCCCAATTTTAATAGTAAAATTAAAGCACAAAACTGAAACAAAACACGGATGTACAGTTTTGGGTGCATGTGAATTCCTGCACTTCCATTTATTGAGAAACGTGTATGCCAGTGAGGCTCTGTACGTATTTAAAGCAAACGCTAGCATCATTTACGATTTAAAAAGTATTTTTTAACCTCAGTTTTTAGATTCTAATCAAGAAAACGATTTGCTATGGGAAGAGAAGTTTCCTGAAAGAACAGCCGTTAATGAATTACTCCAGGTAATACTTTTTAAATGTCATTAGAATGTATATTCTTAGATTTTAAATTCATACTTCTCAGAAACATTTTACCTGGAAAATTGTTTCACAGAGAGCCCTGCGTGAGCAATCATCTCTGCCAGGGTTGAAAAGATGTCATCAGCCATGGTCAAGAATTTTGTATGGTGTAGTAATGATGTTTATAATGGCACCAACACTAAAGGCAGCATAGATGCGGATTTTCCTTCACCTCCCAACAGTTTGTGACACTCCTGTGGATAGTGACAACTCCTGCTCATCACTAGGAGCCAGCCCCTTCAGGCTCAGCTGCTTTTTCAACTTAGTTTTTCACTGAATCTTCAGACCACATCCCCAAATTACCTCCACAGAGTGTGGTGTATCACTGGACCTTCCTGACACCACCACCACCACCCACCCACCCACACACACACTGTCTCACACTCTTGAATCCATTTCCCAGATATTTCTTTTGTGATAGTTTAACAAACGCGTAGTTTGTTCTGTTATAATAGGAGCCCACTAGAAGACCCAAGACCCAGTCTCCCTTCCTTGTAAATAAATGGCCTTCACAGAGTCTATTGGAAATAGTTCCCCTTTTCTTGTTATTTTTTTGTTCTGTCATCTGAAAGAATCATTGTAATGTGGGAAATATTGTTAAATATGTTCTCTAAGAGCCCTACCTAAGTTATCTGCAGGAGCAGCTTAGTCCTGGTTTCAGAGTTTTAGAGGCTTAAAGGGTGCTTTTTAAGGTACTTGGAAGATTTCTGCTTTGATAGCAATATTAATAGTATATTTTATTTTATTATGATCATGAAAAGAGCACATGCCTCCTGTAACTAAACTATATAGAACTACATAAACAAAAAGTAAAATCTGCACCTCCACCACCACCACCCTCAACAAAAAATCCCACTCTCCAGAGATAACCGTTAACAGTTGAATGTAGCTCTTTCCAGACTTTTTCACAGTGTGTAGTATATTTTCTGTTATTTATTATACATTTCCTAAATATTTGACATTTCAATGATCATGAGTATGTTAGTTGATGAAATCTGTAGATTAAAGGTTTTTTCTTGGTATTCTACTAATTTTTGTGTTCTTTGTTTTCTAAAAGACTTCACACGTATCATTCTCCGAATCTGATATCCCATCCTCAGAAAGTACTGAGTTACCTGTGGACTGGAGTATTAAAACTCGACTCCTTTTCACCTCTTCTCAACCCTTTACCTGGGCAGATCATTTGAAAGCACAGGAAGAGGCTCAAGGTGTCATCCAGCATTGTAGGGCAACAGAAGTTACTTTGCCTCGAAGTATACAGGTAAGAAAACAATAGCTGTTTTAAAGTAACACATTAAATGTAAAATTTACTTCTTTGCAAAATATCAGAAATATGTCCTTTCATTAAGTTTTTTTTCTGATTTTTTTTTTAATTGGGGAATTGGGGGGATGGGAACAGCGGTGGGGAATTGGGGGAAGGGAAACAGACAAGTTGCTGTCCTTTTGTTCTTCAGTCTAGTTGTGGAGGACGCTGCTTCACTGGCCCAATTTGTCAACATCATTGCGCTCTTCCCAGGCGAGGCATATCAGTCACCGGCTTCTAGACGGCTGCTCACGCTGGCTGCTGGCTACACATGGTAGCCCATGGCAACCCACTGCCACAGGGACTGCAGCCTACGCCGTCGCCGGCGACTCACCGCAGCCCTGCTCCAGGTTGAGCTGTTGTTCAGCATCTTAGCCGTGGAGGGCAGTGTCACTGGCCCTCATATGTGGGATCCGATCCGGGGCCCTCTGGCGTCCCAAGCCAGTTCTTAAGCATCACGCCACTCAGCCGGCCCTTTTTTCTGATATTTAAAGACACAAGGACTTAGCAGTTTTGTATTTCCCAAATGGTGCTTTCATAAAATTATTTTAATCAGATTCAGTAACTGCTCATTAAATTTAGAGACCTGTCCTGAGAAATGGTCAGTGTTGCAGGGAGACATTGTTTGAACTAAACCATTCTTTTTAAAAGACTTTTGAGAAAGAAAATAAAAGGAAAAGAAATAAAAAGCATTTGAGGAGTCAGATTGCAAAGGCAGATTGGTTGTTTTACTGATTTTCTGATATACTGTATATTCTTTTAAATGCACTAACTCCTGCTATCTGGATGATGGTCTGTTGTAAATTTAGTAGAGTTAATGAGTTCTAGATTGTCTTTAGAGAAATGTAATAGCATTGCTTTCAAGCTGCTAGTCAACTCAAACTGGGTTAAAAGGGATTAGCTGAAAGAGGCCTTGGTACATCTTTTTCAATAAATTGATCAGGATGATTTGTGATTTGCATTGTCCTTGTTTACTAGCTGCATTTTTTTTTTTTTTATAGCTGAGCTATCCTGCCACCTGTTGGCAGCTCAGCTCGGGCCAGGACTCGAACCACTGTTGCTCAGAGCTCAAGCTCTTGAGCGAGCTCTTAACCAACTGAGCCACTCCGCTGGCCCTTTACTGGCTGCTTTAGAAACAGTGTTGTGAGAGGTGCGCAATTGAATGTAGTGTTACCTACACACCCACCCTACCCTCATGATGAAAAAGATCGGTATTGTTCTCTAGGAGACAGTAGACCGTTCCTGTCTATGCTCAGGAGTTCCTTCTGGTATATGGCTTAACAGATTGTCATTGCTGGCAAGAAAGGTTTTCCCAAACAAGCATAAACTACATTTTAGCCCCTATAACAGTTATTAACACTTCGTTGCTATAGGAAGCAGTAAAGATAAGTGTTTATCTTAAATAGCAGTGTCTTTTTAATGAAATGTTATACTTCTGATGGGGCAAAAATTGTCCAATATCTCTGGATTTTAGGATCCCAAACTCTCCACTGAGCTTCGTGGTGCCTTCCAACAGAGCCTTATCTATTGGCTCCACCCTGCCTTTCCTTGGCTGTCAATGTTCCCTCGTATTGGAGCTGATAGAAAAATGGCTGGAAAGACAAATCCTTGGTCGAATGATGAAACCCTGCAACACATTTTAATGAGTGACTGGTAAGATCAGTAAAAACTTGTGGAACCCAGTAGTGAATTTTCATTTTGGCAGTGTTCTCTCCTTATTTTATTTATGACGTGGAAATGTATAGTGATAAAAGGATCTCTGTGTCCTGAATTGTTTTACTTAAACTGTTAACCAACATTTAAATTGTTTACTTTAGCTCTTATTCACTCTTTATGCAATTGTGCAATGTATGTGTTTCATAAATATAATATAGACGTAATTCTTTACTTGTCAGTGGCTGCTTCCTTTCTCAGCAGAAGCTGCTTCAGAGAATGTCAGCAACTAATTATTAATTAAATTTTGTTTAAAGAAAAAATGGTTAGTGTTTAAGTGGTAAACACTTTGTTTAAGTATCTAGAAGTCACCAGTGAGTCCCATGACCAGTTTTAGTTCTTTAAAAGCCAAGTTGCATGTAATGGCAAAAATTCAAACCATTATCTGTAATATTTATGTTGTGTTTTAAATCCGGTATCAAACTGAATTATACAAAATTAAATTTTAGATGTTGAGTTAAAGGTTTATTAATACCTAAAGAACATGTTTTGCTTCATAGGTCTGTGAGCTTCACTTCACTATATAATCTGCTGAAGACAAAACTTTGCCCCTATTTCTACGTTTGTACCTATCAGTTTACTGTCCTGTTCCGTGCCGCAGGATTAGCAGGAAATGATGTAATCACAGCTCTCATATCTCCTACAACTAGAGGTATAAGAGAAGCTATGAAAAATGAAGGTAAAACTATAGGTTAAAATGAGAATACCACACTATATAATCAGTGCTTTTCTTGAAAGTTAAAAGTTGAATTATTTTTTACAAGTTGAATTATCTTTTACCAGTTTTATCTAAATGAAAATTTTTTTTCATTTGATTTCTTTTTAGCAATTATTTATGCTATCCCTTATACATAGCTTTAAGTTAATGGTGTTCCCTTCACTGTTTTCTAAACACGTATTGGGTCAGAAAGTCTGAATATGTATACTCCTGTTGTAATTATAGTACAAATTATCTACCCCTTTTAATAAGTTTTCAAACTGGGTTAAACCATTATTGGATTATAAAATCTATTCAGTGGGTTCAATCAGCACTTTTTTTTTTTTTACCTGAGCCATCCTGCCACCTGTTGGCTGCTCAGCGGCAGCTCAGCTTGGGCTGCGAATCGAACCGGCGACCCTGTTGCTCAGAGTTTACACTCTTGAGCCAGCTCTTATCCTAACTGAACCACTCGGCCGGCCCTCAATCAGCACTTTTAAAAAATGAAATAGAGTAAAATATACTTTATGAAAGACTACCACATGTAGTGAGAGTATTATTCCCTAAACCTTTTGTTTCACCGAGAAATGGGTGTGTTATGGGCTACTGTTAAGAAAGCTTGAAAACTACTGACTTAACACATCAAGTGTGAAGACTCACATTTCAAATTTTGTACTCTCTAAAAATAGGGCACACCTGTTAAATTCTTTTAAATTATATTACAGAAATTTTTTTCTCATATAGGTATTGAATTTTCTCTGCCTTTGATAAAAGAAAATGGCCATGAGAAGAAAGTATCTGGAACAAGCTTGGGACATGGAGAGTATGTGATTATAATAACCTTTTACATCATCCATTGATTTATGGATTCAGTGGAATAGTTTTATAGAGGAAACAGCTTTATGAAATGGGAACTCTTAACTGTTAACAATTTTTTAGGGAGCAAGCAATCAGTGATGAGGATGAAGAAGAAAGTTTTTCCTGGCTGGAAGAGATGGGTGTGCAAGATAAAATTAAAAAACCAGACATACTGTCTATCAAGCTGTATCCTTTTCATTTGCTGTTAACTAGAATTGATATTTATTAAGTTAGTGAATAATGTAATACTGACTGGCAGGTTTATTTGACCATAATCTTAAATTATCTTAGGATCATATTAAAACTAATTCTCTATCATGACATTAAATAACAAACCCCTAAGTACCAATAAACTATGAACAATTATTAAGCTATCTTTTTGAAAGTGAAAACATTCCATTTTGGGTTAAGTTTTTGAAGGAACAGAATGCATTTTTGACTAGGGAAGAAATTAGTTTTTGTTAGGTGTCAATTTCTAGCAAATTCAGATCAAAGAAAAAGGATTTGATTTAAACCGATGCTTTAAAATTGCAGTGATGGGGTAGCAACAGCATTTCCTGTTTGGAATGGGGAAAAGAGAGTCTCACATGACTCAGAATCAAAATAACTGCTTTTCCTATTGGTGTGAGGTTTGCATTAGCAATTTCCTTGATGGTGATCTTCAGGCGTAAAGAGAAACATGAAGTACAAATGGATCACAGACCGGAGTCTGTTGTGCTGGTGAAGGGAACGAATACCTTTACATTGCTGAATTTTTTGATCAACTGTAAGAGTTTAGTTGCTACTTCAGGTCCACAGGCAGGACTTCCACCAACCCTCCTATCCCCGATAGCTTTCCGAGGTGCCACAATGCAAATGCTTAAGGTAATAAAAAGAAAAAAAAATTATATACTAATCCTTTTTTTTTTTTT